AAAAAAAAAAGTGTGTGTGTGTGTGTGTGGGTATACAGAAAAATATCACCAACACTGAAAACGGTGTTTAAGACCTGTGTCCTGACATTTCTCTGTAGGAACATCCTTTGGATTACATTTGGTAGGAAAATAGAAATATTTTAGAATCTGTTTCTTTTTGCCTAGGATACTTCAAAAAAAAAAAGAAAATCTCCACTTCACAAAGCCGTTTCTGTGGTGATGAAGGGAATTCAGGGAAGGCACATGTTTTGTAAATCCACAAAGAATAGCTTTTTTGAAAATTCGTAAGATGCCTGTGGGGAACACATTTCTCTCATGTGCATGCTGGTCAAATGGCAGTTGGCTTGGAAACAGTGAACGACAGTGAAATCGTACATGTGATATTTGGCCATCCGCGGTGGGCTCTGGTGGCTGCTCTGCAGTACAGTGTATCGTGTTGAAACGGGACGGGAACTTGCCCGTTAGTTATGAAAAGAAGCTGTGATGAAAGAGACAGATGGACTGCCAGGAGTTGTGTCCAAGACTCAGAAGGGAGAGGGAATTGAAGTGTCCCCCCTGGAGAGAAGGAGTTAGAGCCGAAGCTGTACTGTTGAGGGATTACATGTGAACCTTTTCCAAAGCAGGAAAGATTTGGAAATGTATACTTTGTGTCTCAGCCTTTATTGTAAAAGGCCTCTAAAGAACTGCTTGGTAGGCAGGGTCATGTTGTAAATGATGTGCTGTTTTGGAATAAATATACACTTGAGTAAAATAAAATGCTCAGTGGGGTGATGGTTCCAGAGGCTTTGTTCTCTTCATTAGCTTGTCATCTGGGAAATCAGGTGGGATCTCAGGCTGTGAGCTGGAGGGGACACTAATTAGCATAATAAGGTCTTACTCCAGTACTGTGGTTAAGTCTGTGAGCACCCCAGTAGGTGTGTAATTTAGTCCCACAAATGATGCAAGCCTTTTTGTTTTAAAAAGATCATCCTAGAAATTGAAAACATGAGTATTTTGCATACATTGGAAGCTCTTTATACATCATGAGCAAGTAAGGACCTGATTTTTCCATTTTCGGTTAAAAGTTTTACAGTGTGCCAACCTTAGCTTGCTGGCCATATTTTGACCACTGTTGCCTCTTGGAGGTCAGGCCAGGCATAGGGTTTGCATTTTAGTTTAAAATTTTAAACTGTTAAAAAAGAAGTTTCTTTAAAGGATTAAAGCCTTGCTTGATCGTGGCGTTTCCTTTATTGAATTTCTTCCTGCTTATTGGTTAATGAAGAGTAGAATCATGTAAAGGTTGAATTATAGAGTTGAATTATAGATTCCTTGGCTGTTAAGCCAAAGCCAGGGGTTTTAGAGTTGTTGTGTTCAGTGAGACAAACAGGTTTGAATGAAGACTCTGCCTCAGGTGCCCCCCTCAGTTAGGTGGGATTTACAGATAAACATCCCTCTCTGCCCCAGAGGGCTTTTAGATAGAGTCCCTTAATTGGGAGGGATTTTGGACCACAAAATAATCTCTAGGGTGCTGTTCAGCTCTTAGATTATATAATTGTATTGGAGGGGAAGTAATTTGTTAGTCAGGAGAACTTTTATGTTCTCAGTAGAGTACTAGGGTCAGTGTTAGCTACACACATTGTGGAAGAGTGAAATTCACACTTAATAGGACATTCAACCCAGTTTTATTTTTTTTAATGGGCACTAATGGCTTTAATCAAAAGAAAATTGTTTACAGAATATTATGAGCATAATACAGTAGTAATGTACATGTAGACAGGACCTTGATTTATAAATTTTAGTTAGCCAGCATCAAGAAGTACACACACACACACACACACACACACACACACACACCCCATATGAAGAAAAAGAGATGGAAATATTAGAAGATCATTGACCATGAATCCAACCCAGCTGTGATTTCAGCCCCAGAAAACTGAAGTTCCCAGCCAGCTGTGCCCCAGGAGGAATGTGAATATAGTCAGCAGCTTTATTGAGTGCTCACCTAAGGCCAAGTTCCCCGTGCAGTTCTGTGGGCCTTAGACAGGAGGGAGCTCAAATAGAGGGACAGACCCAACAATGTGGTGTGAACCCAGGACATGGTTCGGATGGTGGATAAGTTCTTTCTTCCAGACTCCGGGTTGCTTTTCCTGTTAGTTTAATAAACTGAAATTAACAGGAAAAATCACCAACTTCCAAGTACTGCTAGGCTGTCACAAACAAACATTTTTATAAATGGCTGTTTGTGATAACTCACAAATTTACTGTGGTGCTTGAAACTGGCTTCTGCTTCTGCCCACTCGGTGCCCTGGAGGTCTACTGCTGCTCAGCAGACTAGAGTCTGGTGCTCCCAGCCCCAGTCCAGAGGTGGAATTGTGTGCTCACAGCATCAGCCATGCCTAGTCCAGGGCTGGTGCAGGTTCATCCTGCTTGTCCTCATGACTCTTATCTATAACTTAGTTCAGCATGATGTGGGCCAGTGAATTCCAGTTCAAAAAGGATAGTTTTGTGAGGTCTTTCAAATGCTTTAGAAAGACTGAAGGCAAGCCATGAAAGATGGTACCACTCAGCTGTGCACAGGCAAACCGGAAAGAACTGGGGAGGAAATCTTAAAAGCTGCTGTAGGACTTTGCACACAGGTAGTTTCGTGAGGGTTTTCAGCTTTATAGAAAGAGGCCTGGAAAACAGGACATTCATTATGTGGTGGCATATAGAAGAAAGCTTGTCATTCAGTACCCTCCGCCTGTTTTCGCAGACACAGCTTCATGATCTCCACCTCCCAGGTGCTGGGATTATAGGCATGTGAGGTGAGACCATACCCAGCTAAAACACTTAAAAAAAATTTTTTTTTCTTTTTTTATCTTTTTCAGACAGGGTCTCCCTGTAGCCCCAGCTGTCCTGTAACTCACTATGTAGACCAGGCTGGCCTTGAACTCACAGAGATCTGCCTGCCTCTGCCTCCCAAGTGCTGAGACTACAGGTGTGCGCCACCACGCCCAGCTAACACTTAAAAAAAAATTTTTAAACTTTCTTCTTTTGAAGTGCTGGGATTGAACACAGGACCTTTTGCATGCTGTGCCAGTGTTATTCCATGAAGCCACAACCCCAGCCTCAGTTCATTTTTCATACTTAAGTCTTGACTCCGCAAAGATTAGCAAATATATATGTTCTTTTATAATTTTTAAATAGTTTATATCCCTCAGAATGATCAAATAGGTAATATGAGTCATCTTGATCATATTGGCCTGGCTTCACTATGGAGACCAGGCTGGCCTGGAACTCTGCCTGCCTCACGTCTCTCATGGAGGCAGCTGCTGCTGCTACTTCTTCATCCCCCGCCCCCCCATGGGGACCAGGCTGTTCTGGCAGTCATAGAGATCAGCGTGCCTCTGCCTTCTGAGTGCTGGGATTAAAGGCAGGTGCCACCACATCCAGCTGTCATTTTTCAATTTATACCCTCTCTGAGCAATCCAGTAAGACGGTCCCTCTTTCCTTACACTTTCCTTTTTTATTTTTATTTTTTGGTGCCTCTGTGATGAGAATCAGGCGTGTAGGGATGGACTTGTTTGCACTCTGTGCCCTCCTGATGGAAGGGCTTCGGTGTATAACGTTGAAATGTTTAGGAATGTACGGTACTCTGGATGTCTCAGTGATGCTGGCTACGTGCCAGATGACTTTCCAGTGCCTGGGAAAGTCAGGGTAGCCTTTAAAGGTCTATTTTAACCCAGAGGGGAAAGTGGGTTCTAACAGCATGTCAGTCAGATTTCTTTGGGGGGGCTATACACGCGCATACCACAGTGTGCATGTAGAGGTCAGAGGACAACCTGGAATGTAGGTCCCTGCTTTCCAACTGATTTGAGACAGGGTCTCCTGTTCACCGCTGTGTATGGCCCCCAGGAAACTTCTAGATTCTCCGTGTCTACCTCCCATGTCTCTAGAGGAGTGCTGGATCACAGGTGTGCTTGACTGCATCTGGCTTTCTGTGAGTTCTGGGGATCCAGACTCAGGTCTGCACTCTTGCTCAGTGAACACCTTTTCCACTGAGTAGGCTCCCCAGCTCTGTGTGTCTGGGGTTTTTTTTTGTTTTGTTTTGTTTTTGGTCTTTTCGAGACAGGGTCTCCTTGTAGCCCCAGCTGGCCTGGATTCGCTGTGGAGACTCAGAGATCCGCCTGCCTCTGCCTCCCGAGTCCTGGGATTAAAGGCGTGTGCCACCACGCCTGGAAGCTCCCTGTTTTTAAGAAGAAAGGCTGTCCCTGAAAGTTTTTCCAGGGAAGGGTTGGGTTTGATAGTCCAGTTTTCTCCAGAAGCCTTATACCACTCAGCAGGGAAACTTTTCTCAGACCCTTGAGCTCACCGAGTCAATGGGAGCTCTGTGTGTCCTCGGGAGAGGACTGACTCTGGAGAGCCTCAGTGGACAGA